AATAATAGAGAATTCACATAGGTAAATATTAAAGAACTAGAAAGTTCTTTACAAATTCTCTTATATTGCCTATTCTTATTAATTAATAGACCAACTAAAATTGGCATTGAATCCCATGAATGCTGGAGATATCAAAGGTAAATATGGGCTCATTCACCTTCCATATATACCACATAAGATGCATCGATGAGATGGTTACATGTGCGATTATTATTAACCCACAACATGGTGTTTGCGAGGTAACTTGCTCAATAATTCGATTTAGAGCATAATTTCCAGATTTTCTATTCAAGAAGTTCATCTTGATAAGTTGGTTTACATCACAGTTGGTTTAGCAAAATAATTTATTGAGTGTCTCTTCTTAATAACTAAACTATTGCCTATGAGAACAAAGTTATATCAGTTTGTTATACATTATATACGAAAGTATATTACATTCTCCCCTCACAAATGGTTCAGGGTCAGGAACTAAATAATTCCATCTTATTATTATTGATGTGCGGTGTATATTTTTATTAACACCATAACACACAAAGATGGGTTCTCAAAGTTGAGGAAACAAGTTAGTTTTTCTAACATAAGGGGGATACATTATAAACAATTGAGAAAATGTTACGTGGAATGGATTATCATTTGTATACCTAGATCCTCGAATATCATAATATGAACTTGAAGTTCATAAAAAGATAATTCGTTTGCAATATATTGCAAAGCATGTCATACACATTTGCTAACCCAAAGAAGGTAACTATATTCTCATTGCAAATGCTTATATTAAGTCTTAGAAGGACAAAGTCTATGGTACGCTTAAAGCATATAGACAAATCAGTTTCAAATAAAACTTCTTGATAAAGAAGATGAGCAAATGATCAAACTGATCATAATAAGGAGACAAGTGATCTAGAAGATCACATGACATAATACTTCATAAAATCTCATGAGAGATTCAGGTACCTGAAAATATGAATGAAGAGATCTCTATGTTATGTCTTTATGAAAAATAAGGAGGTTGGGACCGATATAAAATGTTCGTCGCCGACATCTATGATAGCGCTAAATATATATGAGGATCTTAAGTCTAGAGAAACAATTCAAATATAATTGGTTTCATATGAAATATATATAGTTTTGGACATGTAGTTCAAAAACTTGAAAGTATAAAGTCAATGGTGTGTGCAATCACCTTTATCTATCTTATATGTCTAGGAATGACATAAAAACTTGATATGCATCTAAAGTCTATTTATATGGCTTATTGACTATACTTATAAGATAATACCTGAAGGATTTAAATTGCTTAAAGCATATACAATTCTTGATCTTGAAGTACCACATCCTCAATGCAATTTATGCACAAATGTATCTTGCTATATTTACACGCATGATAATATGATAGCAAGAGTTTTTGCCCCTATGTGATGATATTGAAATGACGATTCCAACAAGAATGATGATTTCAAGGTTCAACATATTCATTCAACTTAATATGGTTGATTTATTTATCAAATCTCTAACAACGATCTCTTGAAGATGGTGCACAAGATTGGAATGTGAAGACTCAATGATGTGAATTGATGCTCTCATCAAGGGGAGTTAATGCGTGTTGCACTCTTTTTCCCTTACAAAGTTTTGTCTCACTGGGTTTTCCTTGCAAGGTTTTTAACGAGGCAACCAAAAGGCGTATTGTTAGATATGTGTACTCTTTTTCCTTCTCTAGAATTTTTTTCCCGCTGAGTTTTATTTAGTTAAGGTTTTAACGAGGCACATTATCTGTTGAATAGACATTCAAGGGGTAGTGTTATAAATAGAATTTTATTTATGGTGAATGTCTATATTTAGAGAGATTCTAGGGTTCATTACTTGGTGGCTAAGTCACCCTCTCCCTATAAATAGAGGGTTCTATTCTATTGTAATTCATCCCAAAATCAATAAAAATTCTCTCTCCCTACTTTTCTCTGCAATACTCTTCTTCTTCTTTTATTGTTTCATAACAAGTGCAAAATATTTTTCTCCAAGAAAAGGATTAATTAGTCAAATATGAAAAATTTATATTTTCATTTTAGGAAAAGTAAAAATCAATTATAATAAATACTTTATCTTTCCTTCGCAAAAAGTAAAATTCAAATATATGTAGTAGAAATGAGGAAGCCCTAACACTCCTTTTAATAGTTTGGATTTTTATAGAATGATGATATCGCTTACTTTGAAAGAACTATTTTATAAATACATTCTCATAGAACTACCTTCCTCTGTTAATTCTTAATGAATAAAAAAGATAGCATGAGAGCTTATATATTTTTCTATAAACGTTAATCGGCTCACTCTTTCAACCTTTTTACTAAAAGGTCACACACATCAATTTAACAATAAATTAGTTATAAATTAGCTTAAAAAGGCAGTTCGATGCACTAAGCAACCGCTATGTGCATGGTTCGGGGAAGGAACGAACGATAAGAAAGGGCCGGACCACAAGGGTCTATTGTATCTTACCCTGCATTTCTGCCAGATGCTGTTTTCACGGCTCGAATCCGTGACCTCTTGATCACATAGCAACAACTTTACCAGTTACACCAAGGTTTGTTAGTTTTAAATTGGCCTCAATTTGATAAAGTAAACAATTGAGAATAATCGAGTATAGATAAGAAAACCTATTTTAGCCAACCTAATTTACACATTTTGTTATGATTGTTTGCAAAAATGTCGAGCCGGCGGGGTCAGGAATCAATAGGGGCAATAACAAAAAGGGATTGGACACTAATCGTGCTAGTAAAATGACCCAACTAGACCTCAAAAAAAGTTGTACCACTGGTTTTGGAACCCTGATCAAGTTTTCAATTCTTTCATTTCTTAAGCATATCACCTTTAGTTATCAATATTCCCAAATGAAATGCTTCTAGAATTTCAACGGTCGAGCTCATTTTCTAATGAAGTCAAAATTCTTTATGTAAGATACGCTAACTCAAAGAATGCATTATCATCCTTTAATAAAAAAATTTAAATTATATATATATATATTATTTTGTTCTAGAACAAATAAATATAGTGATAAAAATATATGTTTGTCTTTATATTCTTTTTATATTCTTCGTAGATGATATGATAGCAGTCAAATTACTAAATGAAGTTTTTTTCTGTATAGGTTTAAACAAATTCTCTTATTTTGTTCTAGGTATATAAAATGTATGGCTAAATCTATAATCGAGTAAAATCCGGTTTTCATGTCTAGTTTAAACTCTTCTAAACTTGTGTTTAGGCTTCTAGCAAATATTTCTGGATTATAGTTCGGGAAATTAATAGGCATTAAAATTTTCTTTTTGTTTTATATATTGTAAGATCCTACTCGGTACTCTCACTCTCAAGATCTATAAACTTGTGTAGTTTCTATTTTAATTAAATTATGGAACTGCCTTATATAATTTTATTATCTTTTTTTTTTAAACTTTTCACTTTGTTCATCTCTTCTTCCCAATCTTTTAAAGAAGTAGATCTTTTCTTAACGCTTTTTTCTTTAACGTCACCCTGGCCACGGTTAAACCTATATACCCATTTTTTGGGCTTGACTTAACTGGTTTCTCCTGGGAATTTACAGGTTAATCCATCAAAATTGTTAAGAAGTTGAAAAGATAACCATATACTAAGAGTGATGTCTAGTTATTTACAAACTAAGAACTAAGGAATAAAAACATAAAGCTGTAAAAACATGGGTAATATCCGGAAACATAGTTTAGATAAAAATAGTAACTTGCATGTTTACAGGATATATATATATATATATTAATTCTAGTTAATAATATAGTATTGATTAGTGATCTAATATACTTGATAAGTAACGTGTAATAAATTGGATGCTAAGGGGTATATAGTCAATGAGGGGAGACCCGCGTGTAAAACACAGAGAGCAGAGTAACGCGTAAGGGATCCATTAGGAAGAGGGTGACGTTAACCATGGTTGGAAGAGGGTGGAACATTCTAACTCACTTGTGTGGTCAGCTTCCCGTCGTCACTGCTATTCTAATAAAACAACGGAACAACCACCTTTCCTCCTATATATATTTAGTATACGTTTACTTTATTCTTCATTTCTTTTCCCTTTCTTCTTCCTCAATTTTAACTGCCTAGTCTTCTCTCCAAATTGATATAACTGCCGCTACGGATAATTATCTCAGACCCCACTTGAGCAATATCAAATCTACACTCTTTCTTCTGCAGCAGATCATATCAGGTATTTTATTTTGTTTGTTACTTTTGATTTTGGTTTGGTTGAAAAAGCGAATTAACAAGAAATTCAAAGTTTTGATTTTTGTGATCTGTATGGTTCGTTTTCATATGTCAAGGAGTTGAATTATGCCCCTAGTTGAACTGGATCTTTTTCTTCTCGGTTTCTATTATTGAAAAGGAAAAAAATCATTTTTCCTGTGGATTTGGGTTCTTACTTTGTGTTAATTCTGGTCTTCCTCTGCAATTGAAATGGACTTATATAGCGTGATTTGGTAAGGGTTGTAAAATTTCGATTTACTGAATGTTTACAGCAGTGTATTTCACGCTGAATATGAATAAATAATTTCGTTTAGTAAATTCATGTTAATTAGTCTGAAAATTATCCTGTAGACTTGTTTTTTAAAATGATTGCTATCACTTGGAGTTGGCTCTGTATTTAACCTAATTTAAGGGCTTAAACTATTCTTGCTGTGAACATCTGTGGAACAAGGTTATCCTAATTTAAGGGCTTAAACTGTTCTACTTCAGCAAACACTTATAGTAAGAGTTAGAACTAATTATTAACCCCACATGATAGATTATTCTCGTCTTAACAACCTACGAGACATGTCATGCTGATGCTCGATGTGTTTTGTTCTGTACTTCTTCTTCTCTTCTTCTCTTTCCATTAGCTTCAAAAGAAGAAAGCTTTATTGTCCTCTGGAGAGGGTTGTAAAATTGATGTTAGTTCATCTCTGTATTTATCACAGGTTGATTTTGTTGAAGCAGATATTGTCGGTGAGAAAAGAGAATGTGCTGAAAATACTTTGTGCATAGTATGGATGCGCACCATTTCTATGATTATGGTGTGACTGGAAGCGATTTGTCATGCTCTTCATATCCTACTATTAGTTCTCTACCAAATAGGCTGTCTGGAACCTCGAAATTTGATTCAGAAAATTCGCCAATTTCGCCACTTGCAAACTATTTAGACTCTGAGACCTTTACCACATTAAGTGATTGCCAGGAGCAGCACAGCTCTACAGAAAATCTTTCAGGAGCTAGTTCTTCCAGTAATTCTTCGCTGGATTATAACCATTATTTCCATCGTCCAAGCCCCTCCCCGGATTGTCTTCCGGAAGGTCTGCTGGTTTTCTCTGGTGGAAATGCTGCTCTTCAGAATGCGGTTCACAGTCAGAACATGCAACATGCTCTGCTGCAGTTGGAGTCTGCTTTAATGGGGCCAGACGAAGAAGTCACAAAATCTAGCCCTTCTTATGGTGGCAATAAGGCGGCACAAACATCAAATCAGAGGTCTAGGGCGTGGACCAACGAATCCAAGGTTTTGCATCAAAATGAAACTCAACGATCACAAATTTCCTTGTTCACCAAGTCAGGCAATGGAATTCTAAGTCAGGAACGGGACAAAGTACTATACAACTTGCCCTTGCATGGTGTTCCCTCTAGCAATCTGAAGCAGCTGCTTATAGCATGCGCCAGAGCTCTTGCTGAAAACAAACTAGATGATTTTGAAGTACTGGTTACCAAGGCAAGGAGTACTGTGTCCATTACTGGAGATCCAATCCAGCGTCTTGGTGCTTACATTGTAGAAGGGCTAGTAGCAAGAAAGGAGTTATCTGGAACCACCATATATAGGAGTTTGAGGTGCAAGGAGCCGGCTGGAAATGATTTACTCTCCTACATGCATATCCTCTATGAAATATGTCCTTACCTAAAGTTTGGCTACATGGCTGCAAATGGTGCCATAGCAGAAGCATGCAGAAACGAAAATTACGTCCACATTATTGACTTCCAAATTGCGCAGGGGACCCAGTGGATGACTCTCTTACAAGCTCTTGCTGCAAGACCTGGCGGTGCCCCCTATGTACGCATTTNAAGCTCTTGCTGCAAGACCCGGCGGTGCCCCCTATGTACGCATTACAGGAATTGATGATCCAGTTTCACAATATGCTCGGGGAGACGGATTGGCAGCAGTGGAGAAACGACTATCAGCAATTTCTGAGAAATTCAACATTGCAGTAGAGTTTAATGCAGTGCCAGTTTTTGCTCCAGAAGTCACTAAGGCTATGCTTGATGTAAGGCCTGGTGAGGCTGTGGCAGTAAACTTCCCTTTGCAACTTCATCACACCCCTGATGAGAGTGTTGACGTGAATAACCCGAGGGATGAGCTTATTAGGATGATAAAGTCGCTTTGCCCCAAGATAGTCACTTTGGTGGAGCAAGAATCAAATACAAACACGGCCCCATTTTTCCCTAGGTTTTTAGAAGCTCTGGACTACTACCATGCAATGTTCGAGTCAATAGATGTGACCCTAGCGAGGGACAGGAAGGAGCGGATCAATGTGGAGCAGCATTGTTTGGCTAGGGATATAGTGAATGTCATAGCATGCGAGGGCAAGGAAAGGGTGGAACGTCACGAGCTACTGGGGAAGTGGAAATCCAGGTTCATGATGGCAGGTTTTCGGCAATATCCTCTGAGCTCTTATGTGAATTCAGTGATAAAGGACCTCATGAGGCGTTACTCGGAGCATTATACACTAGTGGAGAAAGATGGGGCTATGCTGTTGGGGTGGAAGGAGAGGAACCTAATCTCTGCATCTGCTTGGTACTAGGTATGAGAAATCACTGAAAGAGTTGTATCTGTAACGAAGTTGTAGTTTATAACTATTACTTAATGAGACGATAGGATGGATCAGGTAATGTCATATAGTTTCAATTTTCTTAACAATGAGTATAAAAATATTGCTTTCTGTTTAAAGTATTGTTCATAGTTATCCTTGCTGTAAAATATCATTTCTCGTCCTTAATCTCCTTGATAGTTCTTGAGCAATCTTCGGAGTAAGTCATGCTTTGTTTATCAATGTTTTATTATCTTGAAAAGGAGATCAAGTTTTTAGGTACTAGCTAAAAGAAATAGTATATCAAACAAAATGGCACTGAGAAAAGATGAAAATAGAAATTATAATGGCAATTCTAGACTTAAATTGTGGTCAAGTAAACTATACTATATAAATTTCTGGAATGGATGAAATTTCGTATACTTCAAGATATGGGAGCTTTTTACGTTTTGCCTTCTTAACCTATGCATCCTGTTTTCCAGTTTGCACCTATCCTCTTATTTCTGACGATTATCCCCGTACCTGGTGGTGGCAAATGGGCTGGTTGGGTCAGATTTGGATGGGTTAAAAATGGGTTGGGTTTCAACCCGCCCATATTTTATACGGGTCAAAATTGATTTGGGTCTATACAAATTTGCTTTTACTTCTTAAACTATTTTTGGTATTCAAGTATGCATCTAGAAAGAACAAGAACGCTAAACAATAGTAACAATACTTACAATGTTTAGAAGGAAAATAAATACTCACACAGTCAACTATGAAGAAACTTAAGAAGGAAGAACAGTTGGAATTATGGGTGTTAACCGAACAGGCTGGTTCGGACTGGACACGAAAAAAATAATATGTTCGGTTATTATTCCGGGCTGGTAGTGGGCTGGATAAAGGTGTTGGTACCGGGCTGAGAAATTCCGATCTAATTAAGGACCGTCCGAATTCGGGCTTAACGGGTCTGGACCGGGACGGGTTACTTTTTTTTTTAAAGTATATTTTATTTTTCTTATTCAATGTTATTGATACTTAAGTGTTTGCAAACTTTTAAGGCTTAGAATTAAACTTTAAAGTTAAAAGTTTAAAGTTTTAAATTTGAAATTTGAATTTTAAAATTAAAATTTGAAAGTAAGTGACTACAAAAAATTATTTAATAAGACCAATATGCAATATGTAAGGATCAAACTCCAAAGGCTTTTGTTTTATATTTTCATTGAATAATAAATAATACTTTAAATTAATTTGCAAGTTCTATTTTGATTTTTTTTATTTTTGAACTTGCAAATTAAAAGTTTACAACAATAATAAAAAATAAGAAAGAGTACATCACATGCTTTGCATCCTTTTTGTAAGTTCATCCATGTCAACATGAGGTTCTTAGTTTCCGGCATTGCTTGAATCGGAACCATAAACCATTATATCTTCAATTTCTTGGTCCTCCGCTTCATCTACCTCTTCACGCCCTTGATTTCACCGTTCTGATCTTATCCAATCTCTGAAGCACATTAGAATTTCCAAAGCGTTGCTGCCCAATGAATGGCGAGTATCTCCTAGTTGGTGCCTTGCTTGGCTAAATGCACTCTCTGATGCGACTGTTGAAATCGGCACATTTAGCACGTCTCGAGCCATGGCCGAAAGAACAGGAAATTGATTTGAGTTGCTCCTCCACCAACCCAGCGGTAGAAATTCCTTTATGCGGGGCTCTGGTGACTTTTGCAAGTAGAATTGGAGTTCATCAATGTTCCTACTACTGGTTTGTTGATTCTCTCCTAGTGTATACCAAATCAAATAATTTTCAACACCATCATTATCCTCCAAAGCACCGGATGCAGATGTTGAAACTGAACTTGAAGGAATATTTGCATCTATAGCAGCAGAAGCATCAACAATGTTAGCATAATAATTATATAAAGTTTGTAAATGTTTGTGTAGATAAGAAATACAAGTTTCAATATCAGGGGTTTCAGTTGGTCCAATATCCATATAAACGTATAAAGCAGTGATTAATTGGCGATAAGTGGCCATTTTGATAGAAGGGTTTAAAATAGCACCAATTAGGTAAATAAGGGGAATTGTGTAGAAATAATTCTTAAATTTATCTAGCATAGATTCAACAACAAAAGAATATCCTTCTTTCTTCTTCAAATTATGGAGTAAAAGAGAAATTTCAGCAATATGAACTAAACCATTTGCAATAGTAAGATAATAAGCTCCAGAAAACTCAAGTGTAGCCAAATAAAAAATTTATAAAAATTTTACAACATCTTCAATGACATCCCAAGTTCTAGATGTTAACAAACGGTTAGGATCGGGACAATGAGAATTAGCAACTTCAGTTATAGGCATTTTATAGTTATGACAATATCTTAAGAATAAATAAGTATAATTCCACCTAGTAATTATTTCTCCAGGCATGAGTCTTGTTTTTAGTCCATATGGTACACATTTTTCCTTAAATGTATTTAATCTAGCACTTCTATTATTTTCTTGAATTACACCACCAACTCTTCTAACTAAAGTGATCTCATCTCTAAATAATTCAAGGACACTCTTCACAATTAAATTATAGATATGACATGCACACCTAACATGAAATATTTCAGGAAGTGGTGGGTGTAGATGCAATTTTAATATTGTAATAGCAGAATTGTTGTTAGAAGCATTATCAAATGACATACACAAAACTGTTTCTGAAAGATTGTAAAATATAGCAACTTCATGGATAGTATTACTTATAAATGCACTAGTATGACTTTGATCTTCATCATATTTAAAAGCAATAATACGTTGTTGCATACAAAAATTATCATCTATCCAATGGCATGTAACAATCAAATAATCATTTCCATTAACAGCACGATCAATATCAGAAGTAAGAGAAACTCTACAAGAAAGACTGGCGAACAAATAACGGATATATGTCTGATATTGTCCAAAAAGCCGAAAGATATCAGCTCTACAAGTACTTCTAGGAATACCTTTAAACAAAGAGTTATAAATTCTATGAATATAAGTAACAAGATATGGTGAAGCAACAAAGCTAAAGGGTAAACAACCTAAAACAATCATTTTAGCTAATTCTTCCCGATCTTTTGCTATATCGTATTTACCCATTAAAACGCCAATACCCGAGTTAAGTTTTTGTTTCCCACCTTCCTCATCAGCACCCCATGCAATAAAGTGGTTATCTACCATGTGCCTACAAAGTTGACCCGTTCCCATGCCTTACCTCCGGTCTCATGTTTATAAACTTCCTTACAAATTTGACATCTTACATAATTTTTATCTCTTCTAGTCTTTCAAAAAAAATTCCAACACTTACTTCTTAATCTTTGATTCCTCTTAATAGGGAGGGGAGGCCTACATGTATTACCACGACCTCCACTCCTAGTATTTTGAGTTTGACTAGCATTACCAAGTGTAGCTGGTGATGTTTGAAGATTATCAGGTAATTGGTATCATCTAAATTATTATCTATACCATAATTTTCTTGAAGTTGCTCATAATCTACATTTAAATTTTCAGGTGAACTTTGAGAAATATGTGTAAAGCTACTAGAAGAACCAGCACCACTTCTTAATTTTTTAGAAGTTTTACTCTTACTACTACCACCCCTACTAGTACACGCTTTTTTGGCTCCTCTAAATATATCCATTATGTAAATTAAATTAATAATTCTTTATAATAAAATAAAAATATACAACAAAGAAGAGAAAGAGATGGAACGAGTGTACCGGGATTCCGGATGCCGCACTAAATTTGATATCAAACTTCAGTTGAAAGACTGATACTTGATATTTGATGATATTGAATATTGATACCACACTTCACTTGAATACATGATATTTGATAATTATAATTTTGTAGTGACTAAAGTAAATATTTGATGAAACTTGAAATAATAAGTAATTGAGAATTTAAAAGCAATAAGCAATATTATCAAGAGAGAATTAGAGTAGTAAGAGAGCAACTTGTGAGAAAAAAATGAACAAGAAGGGGGGTTATTTATAGTTTTTAAAAGGTCAAAATTGTAAATTATCAATTAGGGGTGGGGGAGGGGCTATTTTCTTAAGGGGTAGGCCGAAATGGCCATTTTTGCAAAAACAATGGCCGTTGCCCAACGGTCATTTGTGAATTTGACCGTTGGCAATGGTCAAAACATTAAAAAAAAAATTGACAATGGTAACCGGGCTGGACCAGGCTGTAGCTCGGTANCCCCCTAGCGTACCGGGCTATTATTGGGCTGGCCCGGGCCGATAACAAGTATAGTTGGAATACCTTTATAGCATTTTTAGTTTTAAAAATGATATCATGTATTTGAGTGAGCAAAAGTTAAAAATAACACACTAGGCTAATCCATATTTTACCCATGAATATCTATATTTATATAGGTTAAAGTCCAAATTTTACCTAACTGCATAGGCGTACACATGATATTTGGTAAGCGATGTCGAAATTTAAAGTGGTGAACAAATTACTACAATAAATATGGGTGATAAAGAAATAGAGAAGAGCACCACCACAAACCGTCACTTAGAAATTACAAGTTATAGAGGATGAGAACTTTTTCGTAGTTACGGTTTTAAATTCGTTTATCTTATTCTAAAATAATTACTTTTTAGAAGTTAAATAGTATTTCATTATCACTTATGGTGCCACGGAAGAGGACACAGTTCTATTTCTAAACAAAAGAGGCTTAAAAGGAAAAAACATGCAAAAGAAACACAAACGAAGTATTCGAACCGCGAACCGCAAACCTCGACGTTGCAAGTGAGACGCTTGACCATCAAACCAGACACTATCGTTTGTTCAGCAATGTCATTTGATTTATATATATATCTTTTGCACAATGCTTATATGTGTAATACCTAAGTTTTCCGACGAAGCGGTGTCGGATGACACCGGTTGGACAAAGGTGCATCCGCCCTGCCGACTGAAATATCACTCATCCAACTCACTAAAATATAGACGGATTGGACGGTTTGACAAAATATGGGCTCATTTTGCCAGCACTACTCAGTAGCTACTCATTTCTTTTCACTATCATAAAAAAGATTCATTTTATGAGGGACAATTGAGAGAAGAGGACTCTTACGAGCAGGTCTTAAGGACTGTTGCTAACACTCGTAATTCGGGTACATTGAAACATATACTTGCATATATACATGCTATAAGGAACGGGATTTAGCGAAGAGTAGAGGCATT